CCATGCCTAATTGAAAACGTCGAATAGGAGTTCAACTCAAAACCTGGCTCGACTCAGTCCGCGTCAGGACATAGAAGGGGTTCTTAGACCTTTGGTATTCGGTCTCCGACGCTGGCGAAGAGAATGGGTCGAACTGTCCAGGTCTGCAGCCACGGATCGTCGCGCGTGGAGAAGCACCGTATGGGACATAATTGAGACCGGCTAGATCAGTCATGATTGTAGCCGTAACAAGTACAAGTAATAGATTAAATAGGCAAAAATACCTAAGAGTTTTCGGGAGGCTGGCAAAGCTGCGGCACGAGAACCAATTCGCTGTCTTTGATGATTGAGTGTAAGAGCGAGAGGCGAGCGCCGGATTGTGGGTTGGAAGACAGAATGGGGTTATTGCCGAAAGATGACTTGGTAATGATAATAATATTAAACATTTACCTCATTGACCTCGCCTGAGGTCACTTATCACCCCCTCCCCCATCTTACACGCGCTCACCTTCGCCCAAAGTCAGCGAACACGTCCCGTCTTACACGCCCTGACCTTTAGTTACCTCGCCCGAGGTCAGCGAACAGCCCACAATGTACAAGCGCTCACCGTTGGTCCAGTGGGGGGTCGGTAATAATGTAAAAAATAACCTCAGGGACCTCGCACGAGGTCAGCGAACACAACCCAACTAACACGCGCACACCGTTTGTCCAGTGGGGGTTAGTAATAATCTTAAAAAGTATGCCTACTGAACAGAAGGAAGTAATTTTTCATCATAAGTCGAACACATTTTTAGGCCTCTTGCCAAAGTATCACACGGTGAAAAGTCTGGCTAAAGTGTAAGCATAGACTAAGTAGGCAAAACTACCGAAGAGTCGTCGGGAGGCTGGCAAGGCTGTGGCACAAGAACCAATTCGCTGTCTTCATTGATCGAGAGTAAGAGCGAGAGGCGAGCGCCGGGCTGTGGGTTGGAAGGCAGAATGGGGTTACTGCCGAAAGATGACTTGGGACGTCGCAGTTTGGGGGCGTCAAACGCCGGCTTTGATTGGAATTGGTGCGCTGTAGAGGATGGAGCAGAACGACGAGCAGGGCGACGCTTGTTTGCCATAAGTTGGGTCTGGGGATCCGAAAGACTGGATTCCTCAGCCGACAGCGGGAAGGGTGGCGGCAATTGAGAGTCCTGGCAAATGTACACAACAAAGGAGCTTATAAGAGAAGAAAGAGGATAGAGTGCAGGGGAGAGTAGACATAAACCTGTTAGGTAAAAAGTTGTGCATAAGTACGAAGACGGCAAGTTATCAAACATACCAGTTTTATTTGATGCAATAAAACTTCCCTGAAAACGCTGTCAACATAAGTTATAAACTGAACATCGATATTAAAGTTAAGCGAATGAAAGTGACGTTCAGTGTCTGTCTTATCTGAAGGAAATGAGGCAATGTTAGCACCCACGCCTGGTACTTTTAATTCGCACGAACCGGTTCTCAAGAGCCCATAAGGGCGAGAGAGAGAAAAGACGCGTTGGCCAGGGAGAGAGTGCGTTTACTCAGACAAGCACGTTACAGCAAGTCAGCGCAAGTAAAGTCAGGCACAGGGTGCATGTACTTTAAAGGGAACACGAGAGACATCTTCCGACAATGGGCCAATCAGGATTGAGCAGACAAGACTGGCTCTTGCGACGCCGTTGAATGCGTTGACTGGTCGTGGGAATCGCGGCCTTCCCAACAGACAACAGTCAGGTTTCGGGTTCACGGCAGCAAGCAAAAAACCCCAACATTCAAGATGGGTGGTAGTAGGGGTTAGAGGGGAGATGGTCATTTAATGGGGCGGGAAAATAATTTAAAAAGTAAAGCATATAAAATTAGAAAGTAATAGTAATAATTACTCAAATAGCCTAACGTTTGACAACAAAAAAGCACGCGATACTCAAAATGAAAAATACTACCAATAGAAACCATGAGCTCCGCAAATTGCGGAGCTGAGCAAAGAACTGCAAATTTTCAAGAATAAAGTATGAACATAAAAGACAGACTTTTCCCCATGTTTAAAGCCGAAAAGCAACCGCATATCGCTAATAAAATTAACTAAAACTAAACTAACTAAACAAAGGTAAACTAAAAACAAGACTTAAAACTACATTAAAACTAAACCATAAACATGCCTACTACTACGAAATAATTAGGCAGTCATATAAAATACACGTATTGAACCAGCAACCGTCATGCTGTGTAGTCTCGGTTACATTCGAGAGCCTGTCAAAACCGTTTGATTAGTCGGACCTGGGTTCTAACTTAGGGTGCGTTAGCGCTTACGGTTAGGTGATCACGATCACCGACGACGGCGAATAAAGGGTAGTCTGTCAATTATCCATGGGATTCACTGGTAACACTTTCCGAAATCGATAGCAGGGAAAATGTAGTGCTAGAGCTCCATAACACAAGTAAAAATAGCAATACCAATATTTGCCGTTGTCAAACAGTCATACCATGGGGCCAGGTTTTGACAGACAGGGCCTCTATTCTGAACTCCATGGCCAGTGTGCGTTAAATTAGACGTTATAACATGAAGCCAAAATCCCCGTCTACGAGAATGACTTTCTACTAACTAGCTGGGTTTTATAGCAAGTTCTAGGCGCCTCCAAGACAATCATATCTCCGCAGTAGCCTCGCTATCACACAGGTGTTAGCTGTCCAGGGCATCCACAAATGCCGGACCGTTCGTAACCGATCTCACGTCAACAAAAATTGTAAAATGCGGTTTAGATTACAAATGACTACTTCAATGGAATTCTAATATGTACTCTCTTGGTGCATAACACAACAGGATGCCGACTTTTGAACGAACGTCAGTTCGGCCTCCTGAAAAAAGTACAATTTGACAAAAATGACTACTCAAGTAGCGAGAATTTTCCCGACTGTTTCGACGCACCTTCAAATTCGATAATATATTTTTGGAAAAAATGCACAAAAAATGATTTGTTTTACCCATTTGGCAGCAAATTACGCCTTCATTCGTATAAACTGGAACACACGGATCCCAAGAAATTTTAATTTGAGGAAAATGTTCTTTGGGATAAAAAGTAACTTTGATGAGTGAATTTTCGTGTTGGGCGCCCCAACTCGTCTTCGGACTAACTGGAACAGTGCATTGAACAAGAACGAAAATTTCAAAACTGCCGGAAAAATCAATAGTTATATGGGGTGAGACGTGATTGGTAGGTGTGGCCTCAGTTAGTCTCTGTCGTGCGACCTCTGTCCTTTTCCTCGTTCTTTGACGTGCTCATAAATACCATCCAATTTTACGTGCCGATTGATGCATGAATCGTCGGAGTGCATGGCTTCAAGGAATTCTCGGCCATTTTTGATACTGCATATTGAGGCCAATCAGGAAGATCCGCTTCAACACGCATCCACGAGCACCAAGTGGCCGTGAAGAGACGTGACCATTTGTGCGAAGCGGCTATGCATTGCCTCGACATATGACACACCTTTGCATGGGATAAAACACGCATCATCGGGGTTTGCCCCTCAAAAAATGGCCGAGAATTCGTCGAAGCCATGCACTCCGACGATTCATCCATCAACCGGCACATCGAGTTGGATTGTATTTATAAGCATGCCAAAGAACGATAGAAAGGACGGAGGCCGCACGACAAAGACTAACTGAGGTCACACCTACCAATCACGTCTCATCCCATATAAATATTGATTTTTTCGGCAGTTTTGAAGTTTGAGTTGTTCATTGTACTGTTCCTGTTAGTCCGAAGACGAGTTGGGGCGCCAAACTCGAAAATTCACTCATTAGAATTACTTTGTATCCCAAAGAAAATCTTCTTCAAATTAAATTACGTCTTCTTCAAATTGTATAGTCGAACGAGTGGAAAACGTTCCGGTTTAAAAACGTGTTCATATTCTTGAATAAATTTGAGTTCGATCCGTCGTTCCATTTGCGTTTGGACTTTTCAGCCTTTTGTTGAGGGAATATCAAACACAACATACTGCGCTCATAGAATTTTATAACTACATCGTACATTTCATGAGAAGCACTAAAATAAGAATATATAGGATGCCATTTAGAGGAATGTTGCACAGTCTTAAAAAAGCACAGTTAGAAAATTTTTAAAGACTATTTTATACCCACTGTTTGTTTATAACATTTGAAGACGTGATTTGTTATCAAATGAGTTCAAAGTTTAACAGGGCCACATGACAAATGCTCACTTGCCACACCATACGCGCACAGAACCTTGAAATTGCTAAGGATTGCACGACAACCATCGAATGAACAAAAACAGGAAAATATTGTTCCACGCACGGATTGTTACACAGGAAGCAGGTTAATTGAAATGCTCTTATGCGTACCTTCCATTGATTTAGCGAAGCCCAGCGACGAAGAAAGAAACTATTTTAATTCAGAAGTAGAACTGATTAAATCGCTGGAACAAAAAGGATATTTGCCTGACGTTTCGGATTCTGGCTGGAAAACGTCTTTTTTGCACTCATTTGACAACAAATCACATCGTCAAATGTTATACACAAACGAGGGGAATCTTATGGCCTTTAAACAGTTCCTAACTGTGCACTTTTTAAAACCATACAACACACCTCTAAATCGCATAGTATCTGTTCATTTTTAGCGTCTCCCATGAAATATGCGATAAAGTTCGCATCCATTGAGTGCTATATGCTATCTCCTTAATGACATACAGGAATATTTGATATTCTCTTCATAGAGGGCATAAAGCTGATCGATTGAAAACCTTAAATGCAGATGTAACGGCACCTGTAGTTCAAAATCATTTAGGAATTGGAAAAATTTTGAAAACCGGAACCGCCGTTCGTTTGATTGGGAAATTTGAAGACGTAATTTGCTATCGAATGAATAAAGCAAAGAATATTTTTGCTAATATATGACTGACAAAGACAGAGGAAAATCCATGAAGGCCGTTTCTGACTTATTTTCCGTCGTCAGGTGGTGATACCCAACTCCCATGTAGCGGCGGAAATTGCCGTCACACTCGAGTCCCGAACCCGCGACCCTGTTTTAGATAGAGGCCAATGCCCTAACCATTGAGTCACGAGTCCGCAGTCTTGCTGCTTTGTGATCGGGAGTATAGATAGTAGTGGGTAAATGTACGCCAAGATTCGCAAAGGCATCAACCAGGATGGGTACATCCTGAAACAGATCGGTGTACTATTACCCACTACTATTTTTGCTTATGTTTTTTTACGGAATACACTTTAAATTGACGAGTCACGAAAATTCTCACTACTTGAGTAGTCATTTTTATCGAAGTGTATTTTATCCAGGAGGCCAAAAAGGCGCTCGTTCAAAAGCCGGCATCCTGCTGTGGGTTTGAAATATCTCGGGATTTTCCTCCAAGAGAGTAAGTATTTAAATTTCCCTGAAGTAATCATTTGCAATCTAAACGGTACCTTAAAATTTTGGTTTACTTGAGGTGATGCTCCAAGATAATCAATATTATAATTCCACTGAAATCATTATTGCTAACCTAAAAAAACATTTTAAAATTTTGGTTAACACTGCATGAGATCGGTTACAGGTTGTGGAGCGGAGGATAGCTGCCTAATAAGCAGGCAATCGCGCTTGGTGACAAAGCAGACGCGAGATTTGCAGTGGCAGTATTTCTGCAAATATTCCCAATTTACGTTTGAGAAGTCATCGTGGCAAACACGTGTTTTAAGCAATTCCTCGTCAGGCCAGTACAGACGCAAAGACTAAAATGAGCAGTTATGTGTGTTTTAGTGTTTAGATGGTTCTCGGGGTAGGGAGGGGTGGGGGTGTAATATCGTCGTGGTGTTCCTACGTCTTACGCATGCGGGCTCCAGCCTATTGAGGGCGTCGGGTCCGGCGAGCAGGGAAGAGGGGGGAGGGATGTTCTCACGGTCGGTG